CTCTGACCCTCGCAGCGAGCAGACCCAACCTAACATTTACGGCATAAACGTATTTTCCCTTAGAGCGTAACGGAGGCCCGGTTCCGGGCAAACCGCGCGTGCATCATTCTAACTCCTCAAAGGTAATGTTTAGTCGGATTTAGAAGTGAAGATGTAGTCACTCGTTCCGGGCACGTTATCTTCAAGCCACATGTTTCTGGTCCAGAAACACTTTCAGAACATCCCGCACATTTTGGGGGGCACTCTCAGAATTAGAGCCATTCTCCCGCATCGGCGCAGCGTCCACAGCAGCTAGACCAGGCATCTCTTATCCAACCACCTAGGCCCTCGGCCGCTCGTCATCCCAAGCGTACCACGCTTACATCCGCAACAATCTAAACGACGTCTGACATGCACACGCTTAAGTCAGCTGCTTTTAATCCGACTCTTTTGGGGGACCGTAATCAGCCCACGCAGTTCATGCCGGAGACGGAACCCCCACTCTGAGTCTCCCACTGCACGGACCATAGCTCGTCCTCCCAGATCACCTCTTCACCCCCCTCATATCCTTCACATGTTACTTCAATAAACGTACAAACATCACACTGTTGTGGCGTGGTTCTTGCTAGTGAAATGAACCTCGAGGAGAGCAACGGAGGAGGATCCCTCTCCAAGGACCAACATACATGCAATGGATGTGGTGTCTTTAGATAAAAAAGTGAATACATTTAAAACATAGACGGTCCAAATGTTAGAAAAGATGTACATTTGTGTACTCCCTGGAATCCGACTGCATTCCTACTTACATGACAGAGAGCCAAGCAGACAACTTACTCCTGAAAACTAGCCTCACACACACACACACACACACACACACACACACACACACACACACACACACACACACACACACACACACACACACACTGCTTGCCTTCATTTCCTGTTTTGCCCTGAGTGTCTATCAACACACATTAAACTCTCCTGTCTCCAGAAGTCTGAAGCTGTTTGGGCATCGTGTGTGTGTGTGTGTGCGTGTGTGTGTGTGTGTGTGTGCGTGTGTGTGTGTGTGTGTGTGTGTGTGTGTGTGTGTGTGTGTGTGTGTGTGTGTGTGTGTGGTGTGTGTGTGTGTGTGTGTGTGTGTGTGTGTGTGTGTGTGTGTGTGTGTGTGTGTGTGTGTGTGTGTGTGTGTGTGTGTGTGTGTGTGTGTGTGTGTGTGTGTGTCCTCAGGGTGAGTCTGAGTTTGTTCAGTTTTGAGCAGCGGCCGCAACCAGCGCACTCCAGGGCTGTCGACATGACACACACACACACACACACACACACACACGGACATTAAACTACTGGACTGGCACACACACACACGTTTTAAGGAGGATAGTCTGTCAGTATCCATCTCCCCTTCCATAATCTTCCACTGAGCCACTGAGCAAACATGACAACGCTGACAGGCAGAAGCATGTAATTCATCTCATACACACACACACACACACACACACACACACACACACACACACACACACACCACACACACACACACACACACACACACACACACACACACACACACACACACACACACACACACACACACACACTTGCTTGTACTATCAAGTTCACACAGTAAATGATAAAGCCTTAAAACTTTTTTTTGTAATTCATCTTTACTGTAAAACTGTGAGATGCGTTTGTGTGCTCGAAAATGTTTGAGTGTGTCGTGAACTGTTGTTATTTTTTGTGAAGTCTTACAACCACTGCTGTCTTCTGACAATGCAGTTGGACTGTGCACACTGTTTCAAACAGTAGTGATAGAGAGGCAGTGTGAGCATTAAACAGGGCGTTGCTGTAAAAGAGCCTCAAGTTCAATAAAGGTGAAACCACCGCAGCAGCAGATGAAGTATAACGTTTCCTCTGCAAACATTCGCCTTTCATCTCAACAATAGTCTCTCCTTTCTCCGTGTCCCCGAGGGAACCGGAAAGCTGACAGCTGCACTTCTTCACTTCTCCAACATCCCTGCCACCTGATCGCCTCTTAATTTAAAGCTCTTCAGAAAGCGTGCATTACTGTAACTCAGCCCCTTTCTTTGCTCACACGAATGAATGAACACCGACACACTGATTCACTCTCATTTTTCCAACAGTTTTAAGTCATTTTCACGTCTGTAAATCTAAATAATTTCTTCATGAGAGCAGCCGTCTCGCTACTTGTTCAAGATTCAATATATATTAATGTCATATATACAGTTCAAGAGGCAGTTGCACTGTACAATGAGATTATTATCTTTGTGTTTTCCACACCTAAGTATTAAGAAACTATACAAACTAACATATAAGGTAAAAACTAGCATATGAGACATTTTAAAGAATATAAGCTGATGTACATTAAAAACAATTATTTTCCCAGAATAAAAGTGCATGATGTGCTGCATGGTAAAACTACAACTAAATACGATATGTAAACATCAGGGTAGAGTAGGGTTTATAAATAGTTACAGCCAGTGTTTGTACTCTCCTATTCTCATCTAAAGAGCTTAAGGCCATTTTGTGAAATGATTGGAAATATGATGTTAAATGACCTTAACCATCCGTCTTATAAAAGCCTGGCTCTCCAAACGCACGCACGCACGCACACACGCACGCACGCACGCACACACACACACACACTCACACACAGAGGATCATGATTTCAAGTGACGTCTAATGTATAGCCAGCCACTCCATTACCTTGATACTCAATACATTCCACACACACACACACACACACACACACACACACACACACACACACACACACACACACACACACACACACACACACACACACACACACACACACAGCTGAGACATTATACTGGTGGGAAACCAGTAAGAGTGAAGCCTACATTAGAGTACAACAGATGCAACAGATGCAAGGTATAGAAAATAAGTGGCACCATTATTAAATTGTGAAGTAGATAGATTTCACAGTGTTGTTACAGTCTTAGGTAGTGAAATAGCAACCAGAAATAACAATATTAAACTCTTAAAAAAAGCAGAAAATGAAGTGTTTGACTCAAATATTATTATTATTTTTATCTTTATTTTTAAGGTCTTTCTACCTATTTCTTTTAAACCGCTTCTGTCAGTACACATAGAGACAGGGCTGATTTAAGGCTGTATTACACAGGGGAAATCTCCTGTGCTATCATCGGTGCTTTGTTGATGCTGTGGGTGTTTGGCTCAGCACAATCAAGTGTTATTGTTGCAGTATGTACACACACACACACACACACACACACACACACACACACATACACATACACATACACATACACATACACATACACACACACACACACACACACACACACACACACACACACACATACACCTGGGTTTGAATTACTGCAATTTCTGCAATTTACGAGGTATTTGGGCTTTAGTTTTCCTTCTGAATTCACGCTGTTAGCTCCTTGGTTAATCTCTAGGGAACGAGACTGAGTCAGCAGAAACATAGATCCTCGGAAAGCAGCAATTTATATGCACACTGGTTTTCTGAATCATAGAGTAATAAAAAAGCTGATTAAGTGAATTTTTAGGGCTTTTAATTAACACTCGAATGAGCCCGAATGAACTACTGTGCATGTGTCGCTTTACTTTACACCATATGGAGGAGCATGAGTTCAAATGGATGTAAATAGAGGGGCTAAGAGGGGAAGGAGAGCTATGGGTAAACTGTGGATAGAAGCAGAATCAACGTGTTACTATTATTGGACGTAATTAATATGATTGCAAAGTCTAATTTCACTCTAGCTGCAAATCATGGTTCAAACTTGGAGGCCAATAACAAGGTTTTGCTGAAAATCAAGCAAAAATATCATTTTTTGAGGAATTTCCAACAGGTTTGACGTGTAAAATGCAGTCAAAAGATTTCACCGTTATCTACTAGTAATTGTGCTTTTACAAAACTGGATTGTTAACGTCAATTCTGAAAGGAAATGAAAGCCCAATTAACATTAAAGTCTACGGGCGTTAAAAGGGTGTTTCCTTCACATAATTTAAGAGATTTTCGACTAAATTGATGCAGAAAGATTGCAAGAAATGAAGTGTTTGATCCTCAGACGTTCCTGTTAATGTGTCCCCACCAATCTTACCTTTTTCCAACGTTAACACAAAGCATTCACACTGTAGCTTTAGGTCTTTTTTGATTTGAGGAACACAATGTGACTGACAGACAGCCTTGTCGTTGAAAACTGGGCATGAACACAAATGAGAGAGCATTATTAAATCTATTGAAGCCTTTTGTTTTTAACAGAAAACTGGAAGACAGTACAGCTGATAATTAAAGCCCAAACACAGCTTTTATCACAGCATACAGCATTTACTTCAAACAAATGCGTCCGATATGACGTAATATCTGAAATGTGGACCCACGGCCCTATCAGAAACGTTGCTATCAGAAACAATGCCCGACTGTTTTGGACGTAATATGGTCGGTGTTTACATTAGCATCGCTAACACTCAGAGCTAACCTGTACTGGAGAGCATGTGTGTGAAGAAGCAGGAAATAAAAAGGAACTCACCTTGTGGTATAACCGGCAAGAGAGAAAGCCTTTGAGCTCCATACTGTTTCAGAAACAATCCTTGATAATCCATGATATGGCGTTTCATCACGGCAGCATTTAGTTTAGACAGTAGCTGCAGGGTCCCGCATGAGCTCAGCCCCCTCCTTTTCTTTTTCTTTTAAGCTTTATACCCCAAATCAGCACTTTTGAAACAGGAAGTGAAATAGAGGGATATGAGGCATGGCTAGAATGGGTGATCTGTTTGGTATTTTGAGCAAAACACTTCATAGACATGCTTTTTATATCTTTTTATATATCTGAGACCTATGCTATTGCCTAAAAATAGCATGATAGGTGACCTTTAAGTAGAAAGTGGTTAACATTTGGTGAGAAATGTAATCCTTCTGGTGAGCAATACTTGAGGACAAAATGCTGTTTATTCAAGTTTTTGGGAAAAAATAATATACTGATTATTTTATACAGATTTCTTGATGAATTTACATCAATCTCAATCTTTATTTATTTATATAGCACATTTAAAACAACCTCAGTTGACCAAAGTGCTGTACAGGGAACAAATACAATGTAAAATGACACAATAGGAGTAAAATAATAAAAGATAAAAAGATGGCCCCAGAAGTCACAGATACAGATTTTCTGATGAATTTACATATTAAAGCTCACGGTAAACGGCATGTATTGATGCTACTTCAATGCAAAGTAACCCAACATCCCACCCCCTCGCTAATTAATAGATGCCCAGATGGTCCCAGAAGTCACAGATATGGTTCCTGGTTCCCACTTGAGCATGTGAACGCACCGTCAGGTTCATCACCAACCAGCTGCTGGTGTCAGAATATCTCGGCCAAATGGGCAGACGTTGCTCCCGGCAGAAAGTCGTCTGATGGGCGCGAGAGGAAGGGTCTCCAACGTGAGCGAAAGCCCCCCAATAGCACAGCATCCGATTGGACAGCAGCTTCTCCGGTATGGAAAGAGTGAAGTTGGCTACCGAGGCAGAGTCAAAGAGGAAGGGAAGTTCTGCACCGTGGCACGCGTGATCGTAGCAGAAAGTTAAACCCGACCACACGCGATGATCCGAAGAAACGTGGTCGAAAACGTACATCCAGACGTTGCTTCCTGACGCCGTGCCGGATCGAGCTGAACGCCTCGAGGGACACAGGAACACGTAGTCTGTCACGATCTGAGGAAAGAAGGAAGAAAGACAACTGCTCAGACAAAGGATTTGCTAGTGGTTTGGTGTGGCGCTGTTGAAATAATCTATATCAATCAATCAATCAATGAATGCTTATTTATATAGCCCAATATCACAAATCTTACATGTTACAACAGAATATCAATATGACAATACGACACCCTCTGTCCTTAGACCCTCACATCGTACAAGGAAAAACTTCCAAAGAAACCCCACAGTTAATGAGGAAAAATGTTAGAAACCTCGAGGAGAGCAACAGAGGAGGGATCCCTCTCCCAGGACGGACAGACGTGAAATAAATGCCGTGTGTAAATTGAAAAGATACTACATTTACAACATAGGTAGGTAGACCAAATGCTTGGAAATGCATGTGTCTATAATAAGAGATATATTATATGATCATATGTTGTAAGCCATGCTTGTGAGTTTCATCCTTTAATTGATCTAAACACACCTTTGTACAATGAATGTGCAGATGTCTGTCTGCAGCGTGTTATTGAGCATAGGATCTTGTAACGTGTGATTGTAAAAGGTCCAAAGGTATAGTGCTGTGTAAACTAAAAAGAAGTGTATAAAACCTGTGAGATTCTGTTATTCTTGACGCAGACACATATACTCTTGGCGCACTTGATGCAAGTATTCTGGCTCTTATACTGTTGTACAACAATATAATAGTTCCTTCAATCAGCAGTGTGTCTGTGTCGGATCCATGACAGCGCTTAAACATCCCACTGAGGCAAAATCTGCTTTTCATTTACGGCCATCAAGCACTGGAATATGCTTCGATCTGAGCTGAAAGCGTACACGGACTTGAACTATTTTTGTGCGCAAATATTGATATTGAGCAATCAGTCTTGCCAACATTTGTTCGACTGTAGTTTGAGTTTTTAATTGAAATTAATTGTAATATAGTATACACCTGTTCTTTGACCTGCTTCCAAGGTTTAAGTCTTTGTTGATTGTTATGTGTGTACCGGCCCGGGATATAAAATCTGGTGTAGATCATATTTTCCCCTTTCGACATGAATGTATTTTTATGCATAGTCAATTAAGACTCATGGTCCCCAGATGACACATCCTAATGATTTTGGGATCCTCTGACTTTTCCGCTAGTGTCACAACAGGACAGACATTTTAATAATTTAATGAAATAAACAACATCTATTGGATGCTGCCGTTACATTTTGACGATATGACTTTTTTGGATCCACTGACTTTACTTCTAGCTCCACCTTGAGACAACTACTGAATAGATTGCCATGTAATTTAATGCAGACATTCATATTCCTCTCAGGATGGATTGTAATCCCTTTAGTGAAGCTCTGATTTTCCAACTAGCAGCATCAGCAGGTCCAATACTTTGGGAAATGACAAACTATCTGCAGGACAAATGACATTCCCATCAATCCTGCCGTTATTTTGAGCTAATAACTCGATGTTAGCATTAGCATTTAGCTTAAAACACTGCCTCAGAGAGCTGCTAGGATGCAAGTTTAGGCTGATGATTAGTTTGACATATTTTTTTTCCCTTCCACCTTTTAATTTACAAGTTGACTAAGGTATACATAGTCAAAAAAACGCACTGCGCTTATGGACCATGAAACCTGGTAAGAAGTGTACAAACGAGCTGCTTTTTGACAATCGCTTCAGCATTGTTTAAAGTTCATCCTTCAAAGGGTGTCTTCTTCTAGTTTCTGCAGTGTTTTTGTAGAAAAGAGAATGAATAAGACTAATTAGGGTGACGTCTTACAAAGAAATTGTCTGGGAGCTGAGCATCAGAAGCTATTGTGAAAACAAAAGTAAGGTAGACCGTCGTCCTCTTCTGCCTGTTACCTGGAAACCAGAGTGTCTTTTTCAGCTGCGCACACACACACACACACACACACACACACACACACACACACACACACACACACACACACACCATGTATACATCACTTCAGGGGACATTACATTGACTTACATGCATTTCCTGGAGACTTATCCTAACCTTAACCATAACCAACACATGCCTAACCCTTACCCTAACCCTAATGATTCCCCTTATGGGGGACCTCCATTTTGTCCCCATAAGGGAAGCCAGTCCCCACACATGACTGTGTAAACAGATGTAGGTCCCCACAAGGATAGTAATGCTAGGACACACACACACACACACACACACACACACACACACACACACACACACAGTACCCAAACGCTGATTGTCATGACACACATTTAATGCTCAAGTAGAACAATGTCTACTGTCACTTCTCCATATTTTCCTCCCCTCTTCTCAGCACTATATATTCCACCTACTTTCTTCTGCCTCTTGTTTCCTTTCTATTACTTACTGTCGTTAAGTAAAGACTCAAAGAAAACCTCAGCTTTTTCAATAACAATTAAACTGTCTGTGTGTCAGCTTAATGACTGAAGCAGCTAAATGCTTGATAACTGGATACAAAAACATGTAAGTGTTAGTCCTTTATGAGCTATACTAAATAAACGTATTATTATTATTATTATTATATGATCAGTGGTTGAAGAAGTACTCAGATTAAAGAGGCTCTATTGTGCTTGTTGGGGTTTCCCTTTCTTGTAGTGTGTTCTATATGTTTTAGTGCATGTCAATGGTCTGCAAAGGCTACAATCCCTGTGTTTCCTCCAGAGGGAGTTTCTGCACTTCTCCTCCCCATCCTCCTCGGTGACAGGCGTGTTGACCCTTCAGTCCTCTAGAGAAGTGCCCTTTATGAAGACATGCAGGAGGGGTGTGTGTGTGTGTGTGTGTGTGTGTGTGTGTGTGTGTGTGTGTGTGTGTGTGTGTGTGTGTGTGTGTGTGTGTGTGTGTGTGTGTGTGTGTGTGTGTGTGTGTGTGTGTGTGTGTGTGTGTGTGTGTGTGTGTGTGTGTGTGTGTGTGTGTGTGTGTGTGTGTGTGTCCTATCTACTACGATTGAATACTAAATAAGTCCAGCAGTGTCACCTCCTGACCCCCCCGCGGCTCCCCCAGAGAAAGCTTTTTTCTACGTCTGTCTTCATGAGCCAGCCCACCTTTGTGCTTTCACTGAGATAAAGACATTTTGGAATTTAATTTGGATTGATTATATTTAAATGTAATTATTGTTACAAAGTGGGTCTGAGTACAGCGCTGAATGTAGAACAGAATAAACATCAGAAGTTGTCAGGAGATGGTCCATCTAATCCAAATGAGTCACTTGGATTTAATGCAACATGTTTGGATTTTAGACAGAAACATTGATTTAATTGAAAATTTGCATTTCTTTGCAGTTATGTTTCTGACAACACAAAGACATCTCTTGATTTACCTGTCTTTTGGTCAACACTAACTCTAGAGGTAGATATTTTGCTTAGCTGCTAAATGCTACTATGTTCACCTGCTAGTTGCTAGATACATTGTGGATTTTAAAGCCACAACAGAAGGTGTTTTGGAGTTTCACTTGGAAAATAACTTGAGTTGTAGCACCCTCTGTAGGACAATCGTGAGAACTGTGTTTAAGAAATCATGAGAAGCATTAATGTGTGTTATATCTAATTATCTAATTATCTAATAGGGAAAAACAACAACTTTAGGGACATTTCCATTAGCAATAGAGATGTTTTGCTACAGAAAAAAGTAGTTACTCCACATCAGATTGACCATTATCCCATCCGAACATTGCCATCGGTGAGCATGGCTAAAATGTATCTGTAGACCAGGGGTGTCAAACTCAAATACACAGTGGGCCAAAATAAAAAAATGGGTACTAGTTGAGGGCCGGACTGGTTCAATGTTTATTGCAGAACTTATTGAAATGAACTTATTGCACATATTAAACCTGGAACTAACAAAGCTTAAATTATTGCCTATAAAAACAACATTAAATAATCAGTTGCATTCATTTCTTATGGCTCTATCTGCAGCTTAATTTCTTATGATTACATTTCTCCACAGGCCAACAACAGCTTCAAAAAACTATTTCCCTCAAAGAACAAACCAAACATGCCCTGTTGTCTCAAGAAAGAAAGTGCAGAAGGAAACATCCATGTAAACTCAGTGTGCTGCTCTGTGATGCTCGTTCAAGCCAGATACTTGGCATCTCATCTTGGGTGCAAGTTCATCAATGTTTGGGGTCAGGCTCTGAGCTGAGGAGACCCTCAGGATGGAGTGAAGGTGTGCGTGCAATATACCGGAGGGCCAGATCTAATAGTAATTAAAAATTATCCTGCGGGCCGAAATTAAATCCACCAAGGGCCTGATTTGGCCCCCGGGCCTTGAGTTTGACACATGTGCTGTAGACAGTCAACTTTGAAATAATCTGGTTGAATGTACATTTAAAAGATCATTTTTTAGACATCATTTTTGAGGCATTAACGTGTGCAGTCAGTGTAAAGCATTATACCATGTTTTGATGTATAGGCTCAGCACGCAGAGTTTCCTCATAAATAATTGTTTAAATGTCAGCAATTTGGGGATTAAGATGAGTGTTATTTGTCCTATACCAGCAAAAAGCTTTAGATTGTATTTAATACCAATATATATAACATGTTTTATGATATTAACACTGAAATAAGTTGCTCTTCATGAGGTTTCTTCAATTTTTTCCCTATTAATTGTGGGGTTTCTCTGAGAGACAAATGTGTAATTGCCGATATTAGGCTAACTAGATAACATTTGATTGATTGATTGATTGATTGAAATACATTTACTCCATCCCCTGTATTTAACCCAAAAAGTTACTTAAAAAGCTCTCTATACCAAACCAGTGAATTTAGGTCTTCTTACTTTTAACATCTCTTTCATTTCATTTCTTTTTTTATTTTGTGTTGAGGAGCATAAACATTTTTATTTTTAATTGTATTTAATTTTCTTTCTTTTAAAAAAAAATATATATATATTTTTACAATTCTTTATTTAGAAAACAGTTGAGAACATTTCACCAGTTGCAATGGAATATACCTGCAGTTACAGGGAGTAGTAAACAATAAGGGAACAGTATACATTGAAGCTCTCCCCTTTCTTATACAAGTCTTTCTTTTCATTTCAATGTTTTATTATCTTTTCTTATCTCACCTGAGCGAGCATGTCCCTGCGGTCGGTCTGCTTGTACAGCGGTAGGTATTTGTGCAGGATGCGCAGAGCGTGTTGTTTAAAGATGGCCGTGATGTAAACAGTGCTCTCAAGTGCAGACACTGGCTTGTTGAAGACACCGTACGCAAAGATCACTCCTTCCTCTGAGGTCGTTCCTGCAGGAAACATGAAAACAAGCTGATATCCAGAGGTACAAATACAAATACTTCGTTACTGTACTTAAGTACATTTTTCTGGTATCAGTACTTTACTCCACTACTTATTTGTGTGTGTGTGTGTGTGTGTGTGTGTGTGTGTGTGTGTGCTTGTGCGTGCGTGTGTGTGTGTGTGTCTCACCCAGTAGAACAGGCTTCTCTTTCTGCCAGTGGCCCTTCAGAAAGGCGGTGACAGCTTGTTCTTTTATTAATTCTCCATCGATGTATGGACCCCACGTCTCAAAAACCTCCAGGAACCTGAACGGGTTCACAATCTTGGAGCCTGGGATCAAAAAGGAGTCAGTAAGATTAAAAGAAAATACATTTTAATTAAGAGATTCTAAGCATTGTTTAATTTGTTGTTCATATTCTGTGTGTGTGATTATAAAACGGACAAGTCAAATCAAGCAATCTGATTGGTTCTTAGCCGTGATATAATGAGCGTATACCACGGGTAGAATTGTAGTTACTTTTCACAACAAGTCAGTATCCCTCCGCGTCTGAGAAAAGCTACAACCGTTACAACTGTTACATTACGTCCGTTACGAAACTAACTAACTAACAAAGCTTAAGATGGAAACATGTAAGGGATAATGTGCAGCAAGGACTTATTGACCGTTGTTAAGGACGCTCACATCTGCAGAAAGAAGTCCGGTCGATTTAACTGTATACAGTTGGGCTGAAAAGCAAACTGCATGCAGTTTGCTTTCCAAACTGGGACAAGAAAACAGCGGAGAAGTAACGGGGCAGAAACCAGTGGCGTAACTATCGACGGTGCAGCCGGTGCAACGCACCGAGGCCCAGAGCCGGCCAGGGGCCCATGCAAAGAAAAAGAAAAAAAAAAAGAATTATATATCTTTAAAAAAAAAAACATTTTGGGGCCCCAATGGCATTGACCGGTTCACGCAGTCTTCAAAGTAACCAAGCAACCTAAATTAATTTGTAATTTGTCTGTCCAGCCAGGAGGAGAAGCTGGATTTAGCTGTGCCCGGCGGTGGTCCAACAGTTCCTCCAAGGGCCCCAACCGATAGGGGACTCTATGGCGCTATTGAGACCCCCGACGCCGAGATCAAAAGCTATATTATAGCAACCGGTCTATGTAGGCCAGGGGTAGCCAACACGGTGCCCACGGGCACTTGGTCGCCCGCAGGGGCAACGCGAGTCGCCCGCGGGGCATGTTCTAAAAATAGCTCGCCAAGCAAATCCAAAATGTATAAAATACACAAAACAAAAAAGGAAATGTAATTAAAAGAATCTACCCTATGAATAAACGAAACCTAAATCATAGCGAACTCTACTTACTACAACTCTATATCTATCTAACACCCCTCCTCCCCCCACCCCCACAATGAATATCGACCAATCACGTTCTTGCTTGATTTGCGGGACCAGCGTTGCAGTCTGGAAGAAAAGCAATGTGGCACCTCCCCGCTGATTTCCCTTCTGGCAGAAACACATCAGCCCCATTGAGCAGCCTATCATGCAGCCTATACAACACATGAGGGGCAGAGTTTTACTCTGTGTGTTGCAACTTGCATATATATTTATTGCACTTGACGCACACACACGCATGGCGTAATTTCCACCTGGGACAGGGGGGAAATGTCCCCCGCTCTTTTCGAAATCCCGTTTGTGTCCCCCCACTTTACAAATATGTTTATTATTATTTTTTAACGCAAGCCGTCGATCGCCACGGAGGAGCACACAGCCTCTGTGAGCGAGCGAGACAGAGAGAGAGAGAGAGAGAGAGAGAGAGAGATAGGGAGGGAGAGAGCTGGGGGGGAGGGAGGGAGAGAGAGAGGGAGAGCATACCTTTATCTATTTGATATAGATAAAGTAAGAAATCATTCCAATGTGTGCTTTCGGACAGTAAAAAAAACAAAAAACAGTTTGAAAGCATAAATAGAAAGAAAGAATGCTAACTAGGTAACATAAGATAAGAATAAACCAGTTTAAATGATTTGTTATTGGTTGTGATCATATTCTAAAGATGTTTGGATTATTGAAAAGTCTACAGCTCCCTTTCATCTGAGTGTTGAGAGCTGTATCCATACATTCATGTTGTGCTCAAAGTGCTCCAGATTGATGCATGCCCCCGGACCCCCTTAGAGGAGGTGAGGACCCCCCTAGAGGAGGTGAGGACCCCCCTAGAGGAGGTGAGGACTCCCCTAGAGGAGGTGAGGACCCCCCTAGAGGAGGTGAGGACTCCCCTAGAGGAGGTGAGGACCCCCCTAGAGGAGGTGAGGTCCACCCCCAAATAAAGCAGGTTAAAATAATTAAGTTGCATACATGTTCTTTTAGTAAACACTGAAAACGGGTCCCACAGACCCAAACAGCACACAAAGGTTAAAGGTCAGCATATCATAATGTTAAAATGTGCTAAAATGTAAAAGTAGCCCCAGACTTGTTTTATTTTTTAAAAGTAGCCCTCACCCTAAAAAAGGTTGGTGACCCCTGATGTAGGCCTACCGGCCCATTCCCCAGAGACAAACATCAAGGAAACAGGTTTAATCCTCTTCTTAGTTCGCTGTGCCGTTGTCAGGCTGTGGTGGTCTGAGGCCAGGGCAGGCTGTTGTTGATAGCCTATACATGTGGCGCTTCTGAGTGGTTGTGTATGTCCGTGCATGTGTGAGCGCATCAGCGTGCGCTTATGTTTGGGGCGATGGGGGCCCCAAAACAATATTTGCACCGGGGCCAATCACAACCTTGTTACGCCACTGGCAGAAACCCTCCTTTTTACGCAACGGTCCAGACATAGACATCAAACGGCAAAACATATTCAGTGTGCAGTTCCTTTGGCATTAGGGCAGGGATATCTAGATTCTTTCCAAGGTTTGACATAATGAATTGTGCTACTTTTAAAGCAAGCAACGATGTTTTCAAATCTGTAATAAAAAAGGTCCGCAAAAACGCTATCGACCAATCAGATTGCTTGATTTGACTTGTCCGTTTCATAAATATATTTACATTTCGTCCGTTACGAAACAAACTTACAAAGCTTAAGATGGAAACATTTAAGGTTAACTTCGACCTCCGGGGTGGCCTTACTATGGAGGAGTGGATTAATATTCCATTCCTCACACATTTAATTTTTATACAATATCCTGCTTTATATTTTTTTACTGTAAATTTGTATTTCAACATGTATGTTTTCTGTATAATGTACAATGCCATGTCTTTTTATGCTGCTGCAATGCAAAAATGTCCCAAATTGGGATCAATAAAGTACAAGTTTATTTATATAGCACCTTTCAACATAAGGCAATTCAAAGTGCTTTACAAAAATGAAAGACATTAAGAAAATGGCATTTAAAAACAGTCATTAAAAAGTAAAGATAATAAAATGAATAAAAGTTACAGGATGTATTTTGTGGCGTCCTACTTGTTTTCATCTGTGCAGCGAGGACTTCCTGTGGACTGAGAGACAGCAGGCACACGATGTCGCTCACTGAGCAGTTCGTCTGTTTAGCAAAGTCCTTCCCCAGCTTCAGGGCGTCATGTCTGGAGAAAAGAGGCAGCAATAGTTTGTTATGGCAATTATGGTATTAAAGCTTAATGCAGTGAAATCATAATGAAATGTAACTTCTAACAAAGTAGTATCCTTTCAAGTGTTTTCAATCCTTTCAAAGTCTGAGAAGAACATTTGGTTTGTGTTCATGAGGATAAGATGGACGGTTTTATGACACTACAGGAAAGACAGGGGGAAAGGAAGACATTTCTTAACCCAACTGTTATTTGTACGGTGTGAGTTTTGCTTATTGTGATAGGGCGACAAATGGGCCCAAATGTTGTTGTGTTGTCATGTAAATGTACAGTTTCCCTATAAGAGAGTCTGACTGTCACACACTCATCATGCTTGCAAGATCTTAAAATACTTTATATCGATATTGTGTTTCTTTGCATATTTGCCTAACTCATCATTTTCTCTAGACAGCAGCTGAAGTTGCTACGACAAGTCATTGATGAGCTTGAAGTAGTTTGAAAACACATGGTAACCTAAGAAAAGCCCTCATGGTTCCTCACCTGGTCTTCAGAGGGATGGAGAAGGGCAGGCTCTGCAGGACGGCCTGTTTGAACAGAGTCTTGCTGCTTTGGATCATCAGGTGGAGGCTGACGGACTGAGCGCCTGCACTCTCCCCAAATAAGGTCACCTGACAAAAGTACACCACACAGAGATAAAAAGCCATGATTTCCTTTCCTGTAGTGTGTTTTATGGGTTTTTGTGCATGTAAATGATCTGCAAACGCTAAAATCCCAAGTGAGAGACATCACTATGTAACACTCGCGCTTCTATTGGCTAGCGCTCCATCACATTGTACGTGATAGGCTAAGGGGCGGGACATCTCTAAGAGGTTGACCAATCACAACAGAGCCGGCCAGCTAACCAATCAGAGCAGACTGGGCTCTGGTTTCAGACAGAGGGTGAAAAGAGGTGCTGCAGCACAGACAGTATGAGAAAAATAAAGAGCTTTTTGATCATTAAAGCATGGAGACATGTAGAGACACTACATACTGATATACACCTGAACATCAGCAGGAGAGGACTCTTTGAAGTAGAGACACTACATACTGATATACACCTGAACATCAGCAGGAGAGGACTCTTTAAAGTAGAGACACTACATACTGATATACACCTGAACATCAGCAGGAGAGGACTCTTTAAAGTAGAGACACTACACACTGATATACACCTGAACATCAGCAGGAGAGGACTCTTTAAAGTAGAGACACTACATACTGATATACACCTGAACATCAGCAGGAGAGGACTCTTTAAAGTAGAGACACTACATACTGATATACACCTGAACATCAGCAGGAGAGGACTCTTTAAAGTAGAGACACTACACACTGATATACACCTGAACATCAGCAGGAGAGGACTCTTTAAAGTAGAGACACTACATACTGATATACACCTGAACATCATCAGGTGAGGACTCTTTAAAGTAGAGACACTACATACTGATATACACCTGAACATCAGCAGGAGAGGACTCTTTAAAGTAGAGACACTACATACTGATATACACCTGAACATCAGCAGGAGAGGACTCTTTAAAGTAGAGACACTACATACTGATATACACCTGAACATCAGCAGGAGAGGACTCTTTAAAGTAGAGACACTACATACTGATATACACCTGAACATCAGCAAGAGAGGACTCTTTAAAGTAGAGACACTACATACTGATATACACCTGAACATCAGCAGGAGAGGACTCTTTAAAGTAGAGACACTAAATACTGATATACACCTGAACATCAGCAGGAGAGGACTCTTTAAAGTAGAGACACTACATACTGATATACACCTGAACATCAGCAGGAGAGGACTCTTTAAAGTAGAGACACTACATACTGATATACACCTGAACATCAGCAGGAGAGGACTCTTTAAAGTAGAGACACTACATACTGATATACACCTGAACATCAGCAGGAGAGGACTCTTTAAAGTAGAGACACTACATACTGATATACACCTGAACATCATCAGGAGAGGACTTTTTAAAGTAGAGACACTACATACTGATATACACCTGAACATCAGCAGGAGAGGACTCTTTAAAGTAGAGACACTACATACTGATATGAAAAAGGATAATAAGAAAGTCAGGTCAACATTTAAATACAATTAAATACTGAATACAAACAGATAATACTGACATGAACCTGAACATGACATTAGTAGGGCCTCTTTACATTAAAGATACAACAGGAAATCCTCACTAACTGTTTGTAGTATCCATGACATCGTGTCATCATAGAAATGTTTGTTTAATCTTTAAGCTAAACCAGTTTTGTTTTTGCTTAAAGGTCCCATGTCATGGCCATTTCTACTGATCATAATTCCATTGTTGAGGTCTACTAAAATAAATGTATATTGTGCAATTTTCCAAACTCACATTGGTTTCTCATACAGCATCTCTGTATAGTATGTGTATTCACTCTCTGTCCTAAACGGCTTGTTGGAGCTCCTGCCCCCCCCTCCCTGTGAGCCCAGTGGCCGTCTGCGAGACAGCGAAACCAAGCCCAAAACCAGCCCGAGCACACACACACGCAGCCTGGCTGGGAGTTTGTGTGTGTGCTCACACACCGACTCACAGCCTCGCTGCGTCCCGCCGTCTCAGGCTGAGAAATCCGGGGAGCTGCAGCTGAGAAAAGATTGAGTGTGTGTGTGACGTAACGGCTCCGCGGACGTTACGTTACCTCACTATACCCAAATACATCGCTGTACCCAGAAAGGAAAAGAGAAATGTCCAACGAGGCGTTCTGGGGCAGCATAGACAGGTCTTTTCTGTGTTTTACTCGCTACAGGGTGTACTTTGAGGGTTTGTGACTCTGCAGACCGTTTACATGCATACAAAGCTTCATAACACACAAGGGGACGGGTAATAACCAGAAAAGCATGACATGGGCCCTTTAAGATCAATCGATGCACTGGTCCTTATTCTGTTCTTTCCACTCCATTTGCCTCTTTGATCAAAACGTATTGCTTTAAAGACATTGATCAGTTTTATACATACCTGTTATAATGAAAGCTATCACACTTTAATGCTATTTCATCTGTATATTTCAAGATTATTAGACTTTGTGTGTTTGCTTGCCTTGCTGGAATCGCCTCCAAACACTGCGATGTTTCTTTGGACCCAGAGTAGAGCCGCCTGCTGGTCCAATATCCCATAATTCCCTGCAGCTGCTGAAAGAGGGTTTTTGCCCGACACAAGGAACCCAAAAGCACCTTAAAGACACGCAGAAATTCACATGATCAGCCGGACATAATTGCCTCCAGCAGGACATTAATTAACTCTGAGTTCCACATATATATGTCTCATGCAGGACAGCAGAGTCATTACAAATTGGGTTATTTTGACCACAAGCTCATTATTTACTCTTATGTCTACCACGAGTTGCCTGCTTGTTGCTTTTACAAAGAAATCTGTATACTTTATCCCGGCATATACAGTAGAAGAAAAGCCCTTGAAGGACAGAATAATTGCTATTAACATAAGATTATTCTGTTTAATGCAAAATGTGTCATTGCACAGAGTACTTACATTAAACCACAGTTAGCATCTAACAAGTTCTGCAAAGTCCTTTTTTTAATAGCATAATATAAGAATATACAGGTGACAGACATAAAAACGTCAAAGAATATACAGTATGAACAGCATATAAGGGTAAAAGCACTATAAACAATAGTAAAGGAGTTTTTTTCATACAAGTTATTGATATGTAAGGGTATATAGTATATGAATGTATATTAATATATGTAATATTGAGTAAACATGTATATTTCTGTCTGTATGAAGTAACCTCTCTGCATCCTCCCTCCAGCAGGTACATGTGAGTCCTTTGAAATAATTGCTTACACATTATCTGAGGAGTCGACAACAGGAAGTGATGTAATATCTGTCTATTTGTGGTTTTGCAAAATGTCTTAATCCTGGTTTGTCTTGCAAGTAAAACAAGTCAAACACAACAACAAGTAATGCTATTGTAAAGTGTGCATGTAACAGTGCTTCCACTATTCTTGCACATGTGTTACACACTTTACATGCAATAAAAAGGGACTAACTCAACATGTCGTACCCAGTCTGTACTCCAGGCTCACCACCACAGTGTGTGTGAAGTTGCTGATGAAGCGTCCGTCGTACAGAGGCTTTGAGGCCGATCCGGCGATGAAATCCCCCCCATGGATCCACACTAGGACGGGGAGAGGGACCTCCAGAGGAGACAGGAAGTCCACATCCAGAGGCACGAAGACGTTCAGGTACAGACAGTCCTCACTCACCTTTCATGGAGAAAATAATCATTAAAGGTCACCTATTATGCAAAATCCACTTTTTCATGTCTCTTCTACATCAACATGTGTCCCCTCTGTGTAAAGAGACTCTGAAAGTCCATTTATATAAAAAGCTGTCTGAAAATGAGCTGATCAGATTTTGGCCACTTTATGATGTCATAACGATTTTTTGGCTTGTGTAGCCATTAGCCAATCACAAACCACCCCCCCCCACTTTATCACCTGAATCTCCTCCTAGAGCACCATTGTGTTCTTTGTAACCAAATCTCTCTCAGAGGGGCGTGGGGAGGGGCTCCTTATTTTCATCTAAAGTAACAGACAGAGAATCAGCACTTTGGAAACAGGGCTGAAACAGAGGGGATTATGGGATGCTGCAATGATCTGTTTGGTGTTTCAGCCAATCAGAGACAGGTTCTGTATATATCTGAGAGCTGTGATATATTGATGAAAAACAGTATAATAGGGGACCTTTAAGTTAGTCTTTAACAATCAATGTTTAGGGGGGTGTAACTTGCTACTCTGGCAGGCTAAACTATTCCATTGTTGTGGTTTTTTACTAACCATTTAATAGGTAACTGGTCTTTGATGCACCAGTAGATTCTGAGTAAAATACGAACCGTCTAAAATTCACTAGGTTCTTGTTTTTGGTAAAACAAAGCCACATGCACAAATACACACTTCCATTTTTTATTCAAAACCATTACAGCTAAACTAGCCGTAGCTAACTAACTTGTTAGCAAATTAGCTTTCCTGCTACGCCCTAAACATTATACAGTAATTGCAGTGGTGGAATGTAATGAAGTACATTCACTCACAATAAAAATAACACAATATATCTGACTTTGAGAGTGTTTTCAGGCCCTTTTCTGTCCATTATGTACAACTGTACTCACTGTAAGTCACTTTGCATCAAATTACCACAAAATCAAAAATCATGTTACTACACCCTAAAAGGAAATTTAACAATGTTGTTTCTTACCTTCCTGGGACACTCCTCAGAGATGGGTCCGCTGCAGGCCTGCATGCATGCGGCTCTGGGGAAGGAGGCATCATAAACTCCCGGCCAGGGACTCACAGGTCTGGGTGGTTTCCAGCGATAAGCCCCAACAGGAGGGTCTGCGTACGGGATCCCATAGAAGATACGGGCCTTGTCCACCGTTATCCCTTTGATCTGTCCATCTTTTGTCGTCACCACAGCTCCAGAAGCCCCGTTACTATCCTGACTGACTGCTTTCACATTGGGTTGCACCTCAGATCGTCCTACAAAGTCTCTTTTGGGGATGAACGGCTCTTCCTTCACAAGCATCCCAGGGTAGATACTTCTCACAAAGCTGGCAAGGTCGAAATCATTATTTTTCGAATTCTCCACAGGGGTTAAACTCAGCAGAAGCAGAAACAAACATTGCCAGATCTCCATGTTGCGTTAAAATACTCTTATACTTCTGCTGCTCAGATTACATTTGACTTGAATAGCAAAAGGTTTGAAAAAGTTTCATCCCCCAACAAGCCTGCAGTAGGAAACTCTCCACAGATTTCTTTCCATACTTGTGACTCCAATTTAGGGAGTCGCTAGTTAAGATTTAATCAGACAAAAGCTGCTCTGTGTGATGCTGAGTGGAGTCCGGTGAGAGGATGATGAAGGAGCGCTAATGGAGGACCACTCGTCTTCCCTTTGCTTAATGTAATCACAAAGTCAAACACAGAAGGTAAATGGGGAAACTGCAGCAGGCTTCATGGAGAAAAATGTGTTTTAATCAATCTTATATTCAGGTTTATCGGGTATTATTTATGAACTATTATGTACTATGATAACGTGCAATCACTACTAAATACTGTTAATATTTACATTAATTATGTGACCATCTATGTTTCCTGTAGATATTCAATTGCTCTTTTTACGGCACTGTTAGTGTACAGTTTTATTATCATTATGCTGCTGTGTTTATTATATTTTTGTAACTCTGGATTTCCTTCGGGATAAATAAAGTCTTATCTTATCTTAACTTCTATTTTGCAGATGAAGTCAGGGCACTAGCAGTTTAATAAATCTACTATAGAGGATTGTCAAAAGAGAGGCTATATGATCCGAAAAGTAGAAAAACTATCTGATGCATTTACAAATATCAACTCAACTCAAAGGAACCAACATAGTGAAAATAGTCGGTCTGCATATAACTCTCTGTCATGAAGAAGTGATTTGTCGTGATAGAGGGTGAGAGAAATAAAAGAAATGTAATAAAACATTATACTCCTTATTTTTTTGCTGACATACTAACAGAGGTATTGAAGTATTTGACTGAACTTTTTTGCAGATTTTGGATTACTGTTGAATTTCCTGAATCAGAGACTTCTCCCTTTTGTCAACCACTTCTCTGTAGGCCATTACAAAGTTAACCTGTATTCAAAAATGTAATCAGTGACCTAATGCAATACCAATAAATACAAGAGAAAATAAATATCAATGAGATGTTTTTTAAGTGTATTATGTAAAACAACAGAACAATGTGACCTTAGAAAAGAAGATATTTAGGATCAAAACTGATTATATTTTTTAGTAAAACCTGCTTTTCATGAAGCATATTCAGGCAGCAGCCTAACAATGGAACACATGAGCACATACTACAGTTTACAAAATCATAAATAAAATCCAGTGGTGGAAAAAGTATTCAGATTCTTCACTTGAGAAAAAGTACTAATACCAGACTATAGAAATACTGAGGGGTGGAAGGCAAGGCAATTTTATTTATATAGCACTTTTCAGCACGTGGCGATTCAAAGTGCTTTACACATTAAAGTACAAAGTGGAAAGTACATTTAATCAAGTACTGTACTTAATTTATGCCACTTTATACTTCTAGTCTACTACATTTTCGAAGCCAATTTTGTGCATTTTACTCCAGTACTATTTTACAAATGTATTTACTTGTTACTTTATACATTTAGATTTTGACACACAATACTTGGGAACACTTTTAAAGTATGATAATCTGGTAGGTTAAGGACGAAGGTACGTTTTAACCGTTTATTTTTTAGTTCTAATTGAAACTAAAAAGAAAACTGAAATGGGTTGTTTTTTTGTTTTTCAATTTTGCCCCAAAATGGAAAAAACGGAAATTCAGCTCGTTTTTTCGTCGTTCTGTTCTTACTGTTGAAACAAGTATACCACTCAATGTTTCGTTTCCATAGGTGGGTGTGTCTCCAGTGCCTCCTTGCTTCTGATTGGCTAGTTTGCCCTATGCTTGCGCTGTACTCTTCAAAATAAAGGTTCTAACTCTTTGCCTTTACACAGTGCAAATGTGGTGATGATTAATGGTTTTTGTGTTAATGTAATAGCAGTTAAAACAGGACCGGTCAAATTTGACCGCGAACACCAAAGTAAGGGGGGGGGGGAACAAAGACAACAGGAGGGTTAAATGGATATTTAGATAGTCAACAAAGAAACATACATTTTGGTTTTTAACACACTATTGAGTTGGCTTTTTCATTACATTTAAAATATAAATTGTACCTAAAATAATACGGAGTGAGCAGGGTATACATATTCACACCATATGCAATCATAGGATATTTTTTGTTCGAAAGACATTTGTCCAAAGTGACTACAAAATAGTACAAATGCAAAACATTAAAAAAAATGTTTTTTGGTGAGTGAAGTCCAAAGCCGTATTATAGATTCTTTGATTGTGTAATTACAAGGTGAGAGAAAATAGATCCACATCGTCCTATTCAACTTGTATTTTTCAATTTTTTAGTACATTTTTCTCAGAAAAACCTTTTCTAAATTAAAGTAAATTATTTAAAAAGGTTGAGTCTATAAGACTAAAATAGTTGAAATTGAACGTAAACTACGTCAAACACCACTCCTGAAATTGACTTTGGCTGAAGTTTATTATAATATTGATATTATATAAAGATCTATATATGTGTGTGTAGACGGTGGAAGCAGGGAGAGGCATATACGTGCCTTGATCCCTGCCGAGTCGACGCACAACTGTTTATTGGTGTCAGTGCCAAAAAACTTTTTAGGAGCAATGCGCTCATGGTATAGATGTGGCCAGTGGCGTTTTTATATGTACAAAAGTGGTGGGGCACAAAAAACTTAGATGTCTATATATAAGCTTCTGCAGTGACGTGCAGTGAGGTTCATGGCTGCTGAGGCACTGGCACTGACTCTTCAGGTTTACAAATATTATATTTTGACCTAAACCAAAATATAATATTATTTTCAAAAGCTTTTTTTGTCTGATGCTTCGATTAATTTTAAACAGACAGTTCAACAAAAGGATACCCAAAAAATGTAATTTGATCATTTAAATATTGAATTGTTCTCTCTAAGTAAGATCCCATTTTCAAAAAATTGCGGTCTTACCTTGACTTGAAGATGAAGTCCATTTGCCTATCCTTCTGGACAAAAAATTCTATAACTTTTTTGTAAAAGTCCTCCTTATCATCTTGTAGTTTCAAAAGTCTATCATAAATCTAATCGATAGATTTATGATTCGAAAATGATAAAAGTAGGGTAGACATGTGGATATTATCCGGCTGAACAAAACGTGCATTTATCTAACAGGTACGTTTCCCACAGATCTTATTTCAAGCTATTTTCTAAAATCCTATAGAGAAACCTCATTGCTTTTTTGCAGCTTACTTCCTGGTTTTAGGACGCGTCACTGCAGCTCTCGTCTCCTCTTATTATACATCCATGCTCTTCACACACCACACTTTTCGCGGCACACGTACTTACAGCCAATCAGCTCTGAATGATGTGAGATGACGTATGGTGGGGATGGCAGCTCTGTGCCCCTATGGTGTTTTTTTTTTTGCCACACACATTACATTGAAAAATACTCTGAGCATGCGCAGTGTAGTTTTTACAGTCACCGTTCACTTTGACAGTGAAAGGGTGGGGCATGATCAGGTTTTGTCCCACATGGCTCAAAACGGCACTGTAGACACTAATGAGAAGAACACAGACTAAAACAGCAATGCACAGACGAATCAGATGATTAAACATGACCTTAAAATATATTTTATATATTTTTTTATTTCTTTTTTTGCATCTCTTTCCATTTTTTGTAATCATTATGTGTAATACTTTCTGCTGACACTAGGTGGGGCTGTGCCCCACCTGCCCCTAATGACCAGTCGCCACTGGATGTGGCGCATACATCTTAATTCCTACTCTTTTCCCTCACCCTATCTTAAGACACGTTGTGCCTCTCCACCTTTGTTCCTTACTTCTTACTTGACTCGAGTCGTGGCTGAACCTATCTCTGCGGTCCTGCCTGACTCTCATCATACTACTTCCCTGATGGCTCCCACAGGATTGTTGACATCCTCGTGGATTCATCTTCTTATTATAGACACATGCATTTCCAAACATTTGGTCTACCTATGCTGTAAAATGTATTATCTCTTCGATTTACACACGGCATCTATTGCACGTCTGTCCGTCCTGGGAGAGGGATCCCTCCTCTGATGCTCTCCCTGAGGTTTCTCCCATGTTCCCCTTTAAACTGTGGGGGTGTCTCTGGAAGTGTTTCCTTGTACGATGTGAGGGTCTAAGGACAGAGGGTGTCGTATTGTCATACTGATATTCTGTACAAACCGTGAAGTCCACTGAGACAAATGTAACATGTGTGATATTGGGCTATATAAATAAACATTGATTGATTGATTGATTGATAACAGTGATTAAGCCTTACGGGTCCCTTTTAAAATATATATATATATTTTGTATAATGTTCTGGTGCCTTATTTTCAATTTGAATGACAATTGTATTAATACAGCGGATGAAAATATTTGCAGGAGGATCAATTCTTCATGGGTGTCATTGGCTCTCTAGATAAAGGCAGTATCTGTTTGCTAACCTCAGATATTGATTTATTTAAATAAGTGACCTTTGAATACATTGCAAACATAGCCTTAAAAAGGTGCAGGAAAAGGACTTCAAATATTACTTAAAGACTGGATTTTTTTAATTCAGTCAAGAGACGAGAAAAGAGAATAAAGGAAAGAAAATCGTTATAAGGGGTGATGTAACATTAATGACAGACATAATATGGCTAGGGAGGCTGTGGCTGATCGTGCGTTGATCTTCGGATCAGGGGGGCACTGGTTCAATCTCCACTGCAGTCAGCATGTCGTTGTGTCCCTGGGCTTCACCCCAAATAGCTCCTGTGAGGATTGTCCATAGTATTGAGTGTATGTAAGTCGCTTTAAGGTAAAAGCAACTAACAAGTGACATGTAGAGGTCATTGGCACTCAGACTCTACAGGGGTCATTTTTTGATCATGGGGCATCACCCTTGTACAGCATCAGGACAATATCTCTATGGAGTCAGACACTGAAAGTGTGCTGGAGGCTGATGGAAAGATGAGGCTGAGAGCAACGAACTAGGGGCAGAGAAATAATCATATTTTTTACATTACATTACATGTCACTTGTTAGACGCTTTTATCCAAAGCAACTTACATACTCAATACTGTGGGCAATCCCCACAGGAGCAATTTGGGGTGAAGTGTCTCAGGGACACAACGACATGCTGACTGCAGTGGGGTTTGAACCTGTGACCCCCTGATCCCAACACCAACGCACTAATCCACTGCGCCACACGCCTTAACCCTTTAATTGCCAGACCAAGAAGAAATCTATGGACAAATTATTTCTTTGCATTTTTTTATCAAATAGGACACAAATAACCACAAACCAGTTTTGTTTTTTTTACTGACCACACAGTTTTGTTTTTATGAGCCTCTACCAACTGGTCGAGCTGGCCTTGGCAAAAGTGCATTTTCAACAATCATCATATAGATCAGTATTTTGTATGCATCAAACTCAAATAAAACACAAACTCAAATACATTTTTGTCTTTTATGGAAGATGAGCAATA